TACGAGGAGACTATCTGAGCTTTTTGCCGCGCGTAAATAACCATCTGAGGCAAGGTGATGGAATATTTTTGCGCGTCACGTTGGATCCTCGAGTATAATCGGTGTGGTGTATGTACTTTACGAAGTGCAAGAGAAACTGCGAATAAGAGAGATGCAAATGTACGTACTCTCGCGAAGTTGTGGGGGAAGTGCGAGAACGAAGTTCTTAGAATTGTACGACGGAGATGCACGGCTTTATTCTGCAGTTGCTGTGTGACGTTCATATTCTATTGTATTGATTCATGACTGTTCAAACCATTTATCACTGACTAGGAATATTTTATTTTTTAATGTTCAGTGGGTGGTCATATTAATAGTATATGGTGTTGGTTCGGAGTACGTTGATAAAATATGTAAATTTAAACTAAAATAGTCACGTCAGTAGGTCTATCCTGAGACAAAAGTATATCATTCATCAATATTGTGTGATAGTGGGACTTTGCAGAATCACGTGAAGTTTGTACGGATGTATACATTTTTCAGATCAACATGAAGTTTCACTTTAATTTTTCAAATGGAATTTGTACGAACGTATTAAAAGATTTAACGTCAGGAAAAGTGTTGCAGAAATTCACCATTTGATATTTAATTTTTTACATGAGTATGGTATGGCTTCGTTGAAAGAGAATACTCTTCATTTTAATACTCCATATTAATCCTCACAAGTCTTTAAAACTTTTTTTGTCCAGTACTTAATAATAATATAGAGTATCAGCAACATACAACTTCGGGACAGCAATATCGATACTATTAAATTATCATAACAATTATTATTAATATTATAATGTTTGTTAAAAATTATAAATAACTTAACGTTGCATAAGTACATATTGGATTATTTTATTAACATTGTAAACAGTAGGTATTCATTAAATTGTGACTTGATATTATGTTTTGCCTTGATGCGATAACATTGGTGAGTAAAAGCACTACTACGGAATAAAAAAACATCACAGGATCGCCATCTAAGAAAATAAACAGCCTTGAACGACTCCGACACGTGTTGGTACCCTGCGCAGTAGTCATCGTTGTCATCGACGTCTTCATCACGACGCGGACGTCCAGCGCGAAAGGCGAGGAGAGGAATTACAGGGGCCAGACGCTTTTCTCTCGTTACCTCTTACTCTTGGGCCAAGAGAGAAAATAATATACGAGGTGGTGAGCAAATGAGTTTTCAGAAAGATACAACGTGCTACATTTACTTGGCGTCCGAGATTATTTCATATTTTCGTTGTCTCTTGTTTCTGTTGTTTGTTTTTCTTGCTGACCGACTTGGAGTACGGACTACAGCGAGAGACACGTGTCGGCTTCTGCATACCCAAAATTGTTTCGCAGTTTAAATTCATCCCTCCCTCCTATCTTTATATGTATTATGATGAATTTTTAATCTATATCTTAATCGTCTGATTTATGTGTGTACATTATAAACTTATGGGTGAAATTTTTTCTTGTTCTGAGGAGAGAAACATTTAGTAATAGTTAGATTAGTAGTGTGTATATATATATATATATATATATATATATATATTCATTTCAGCGTGATAATCATGTCATCTTGATGATATGAATGAAGATTATTTTCGAAATTTTATGTTATGATGTATTGGGACCTCTAAAATTATAAACGAGTTATTTTTATCAACCAAACAATAGCATAATCGTGAAGAAAAAATCTGTGTCAGAAAAACATGTTACATCACTAGTTCTGAAAAATTTTTTAATAGATTGAGAAAACGTGTCAACTGGAGACCACAATTTGTGAATTTTACGAGCTTCTTTTTTTTAACCGTAAGATTTTTTTAGGTACGTATTAAGAGCGGTCGTTAATTTTTAAAAGTAATTACACCGCCAATGGAAATAACGATGAGATCTTGGTAAATTAATGCACTAGGGTTCGTAACAAGCAAAATAATATTTTTTATAGTCTTGATACTTTGAAATGGATATTTTTAATTATATGGATACTCAATATGTTCTAATTACCATATCATACAAAATAATGATGAACTTTCAACGGTATTTTTTTGTGTATTACAAGTTATATTTTTACATGAGTGTCGGAAGGAAGATAAATGATGCTACGCATTAATAAAGCGAGGGATGTAACTATCTTGAGGTAATCATTTTTTTAACAGCTACAAATTAATTTTAAAAAATTTTTTATTAGTAGTTACTAGTATTTTAATAGGTTTTAATTTTTTTTTCTGTATCAACACAATCGTAAAAGATAACAACAAACAAAGTTTAATATATTACTGTGCATCACGGATCGTAAATATAAAAATTGATACTGTCCTCGCACAAAGTCAAGGTTTATGGAACCACAAGAGCAATTTGATAAGAGCTTTCCATTCTATTTTTCTTTCGCTTGTTTTTTTATTTTTTTTATTTGATGCGGTAAGTCATAAAATAAACCCTGACAATGACCTAGATAACTGAAAGAAGAGTTTTTTCAAAGCTAGGGCAAGAGTCTCAAACATAATTGCATATGAATTTGGGTGGCCTTGATTTTTCGGTTGCCCAAACAATAAAAAAACACATGGAAATGTATGTTACTTTTAATAATTTTCATTTTTTAATACTGATAAAATTTTTATTAATCAAAACAAAAGAAACTGAGAGGTTCATCGAAAAATTCAAAAAATATATATTACTTAGTCCAACACGAAACATTATTTAAACTATTGAAAATAATTTTCCTTGTTATTATCTTTTATAAGCAATCGGGAAGAAAAAAAAAAAAATCGAATCAATAAATGACCAGAGCACAACTCTCGCAAACATCGGGTAAATTCCTTATCGCTCGGGTTGTCAGTGGATTACTCACCTGTGCATGTTCCATGTCGCGTCGTTGGGCACGTATTTATATTTGCTTTTGTATTTTTATACCAAATCCCCCTAATCGTGTATCAAAAAGCCAAGAGAACCAAACGTCAGTCGATTTCGTCACGTAGATATGATCTGTGACAAAAAAAAAAAAAAAAAAAAAAAAAAAAAAAAAAAAAAAACCCTAAAGTGACGTGAAAAAGTGTACATACAACTAGACGATCGCAGTATCATTCGACACTTTTGTGAGTGTGTGTGCACATGCCCGTGGTAATTCCTCGTCATTGTAAACGGAGCTTATCGCTCTCGTATACCCGATTACTTCCTCCTCGTTTTTCGTGAAAGCATACGCGCATTCACGTCCAGTGTTGTATATTTATATTTGACATGCTTGTCGTTTAGGAATTTTTTTTGCTCTTTTTACCTGACTGCACTTTTTTTTCACTTGTTTCGAAGAAAAATCCAATATTTTTATCAACTCGTTTAATTTTTAAGATGTTAGTTATCAATAAATCAGTGTTACACATATTTTATGCAAAATAATATTATGTATGTGGTGTGATATATTATATTATTATATTGTATTAAAATTAATAATTTTTCCAATTGTATTAAAAGTAAATTTAAAAATAATCTTTCGAATGTTAATTATGCGTGCAAAAAAACAAGCCCGATCGAGAAGATTAATGAACGGACGGGTGAAAATATGATGCGTTGATTTATAAGATTTCCCTACTAACGAATGGGTAATTTAATTGCTGAATTCAAACAAATAATGTTCTTGAATACCCACACCAGAGCTCGCTCTTTTATTTTTGTAAAACAAAAAAAAACGAAAAACTATATACACATTTTCATGCACGGATTAAGCGTACAACAAAAAATAAGTAGATAATTGACGCTCCAGTGAGATTTAATTATCTTCGGAACGTGCAATTTTTATCTCGCTCTCCTTTCTGCAGCGTATTTTTTTCAATTTTTTCTTCATAATTTCGAAAAGTTGGCGCGCTTATTTGCCTACACACTTGTCAGTGAGTTAATGCGAAAATAAAAATTTCGAGATTGACGAGTTTCGCGTCGAGTGCGGCGCCGCGCAGTTATTAAGTAAATTGATTACTTCGTTTTTTCATTTTCATTGGCGAAATAACACAATTTTTCTTAATAGTATTTTTAGGAAGGTGTAATTCGCGTGCTTGTAAAAAATTTATAATTAAGCATCACAAGTAATTGTTTTTTAAATTTATTCTGTTATAAAAAAAAAAAAAAATTACTATCGTCCCAGCGATGATAATCACGCATCAGCAGCTTGCGAGGATGAATTTTTAATTTTTCACAGCTCCGAACAATAAAGTGCAAAAAAATAAATCTCATTAGTTACGCTCTGAAACTGCTAATTCCGTGTACTGCAGTGAATTTTTTAAAAATTATTCCTGAACCTTAAAAAAAAAGGATATGCCCTAATGAAAAGGTAATCACCACTTGTTTTTTAATTCAAAATTTTTTTAGCGGTCAGAGACAAGAGCACGGATAATTTTTCAATTATTTTGATATATTAACTACTCTATGCTTAACGTGTTATGACCTATACTTATGCTGAAAAGTAGTTTTTTCAAGTAATATTCTTAACACAGTGCATATCAAAATTTTTTTCAGCACAGAAAATTTAGGAAAAATACCACCCAAAAATTGAATAAAGTATTTAAGTAAATTACATCAAATTTCGATATCTAAAATGTTTTTCACGTATCTGCCAGAAAAAAATTTTTTCTTAATATTATAAAGTAAATAGTGATAAATAAAGAATTAAAAAAAAAAAAAATATGTGTGTAAATTATTGAAGAAAAAAAAATTTTTTTCCAAAGCGTTTGAAATCTGATGAAATATTTATATTAAAGTCTAACAATAGAGAAAACGACCTGCAAAAGACAAATGGGAAAAAATCGAATGGGTGCGTATATTATACCTTTACTTTACTCGCTACATCGAAGCCTCACACTTCTCCTTTTCTTGCCTAACTTACACGCGCAAAATCTATATTATACATTTATGGTTTTTGTATATAACTTGCCGTAAACAACTTTTAATGACTTCATTTTCCGACGCAATAGAAATACAATGAGTAAAAAAAGACTTACCTCGCGTCGTAATATTTTTAGTCGTCACCGGGGGATCCTCAGTCACAGCCTTGTTGAGCGCCTTGTGAAAACTAGCGCTCACCGGGCCCAGACTCAGCATCAGCAGGAGCAACGCGACCACGATTCCCCTTTGAAACGACCACCACCTGCTCCTCGCCGTCGTCGTACCGTCACCACCCCCGCGTCCGGGTCTCCATCTGACGACACTGGCAGCACAGCCAAGCCTCTCCCCGTTGTCATCGTCCTTATTACCACCACCGCTTCCACAACGACACCTCGTGGCACCGCAACTACCACCGCTGTGCACAAAAGTCCTCTGTTGCAGCTGTCGCGCACGATCACCGTCGCAACAGCCGCAAAAACACCGCGAGTTGTCCCGCACTACCCCCCCACCGTCGAGGCACCGATGCCTCTGTTCTTCCCCTTTGGGACGACGCCCTGGATTATCGTCCGGACACCGCGAGCGACGGCACTCACCGCACGCGTCCACCGGCTTTGAGGTCATCGCGATAGATTCGCCGTCAGTGGCGCGCTGAGGTGACTCTCGATCGGCTGGCATGGCTCCCGGCACTTCAGAGCATCCGCTGCCGCTGGAAGAGGCCGCGAGGGTCCTCGTCGACTTTGAAGTCCCGGTGCTCGAGGAGTAGCTGGCGCCTGAATCGGGGCATCCCGCTCTGTATTTTCTCGGGGGGTTCTTCGTGAGCTCCAGGTTTTTATTTCGATGGCTTATCGCTTTTGGTGCTTAAGGTGGCTCGTTCAGAGGACGATGTCGGTGCATTCTGGAACATAAAGAGCAGTGCTTGTGATGGATTGTAAAGTTTTTTATTCGCAAGTCGATTGGCTAGGGTTTACCGCGTAACACCTCATGATTTAGGATTGTGTTTGTTGTAATATGCGCATGGCACGGATTGATAATTTTTTTTTTTTTTTTTTTTTTTTGTTAGTACAAAACACTACTTATAAATATTCTGTCGTATTGAGCAAAAGCTCGAGCGGAAGTGAAGAAAAAATAAGTGCAAGCTGATAAAATGAGTTTCAGGGAAAGAAAGTGTGAAAGTCGATGCTTGAAAATACGCTATTTACGTATAGATACAAGAAAACGATTTAAAAAAAAAAAAAAAAATTTCACGAAACGCGCCAGTTAGTCTAGTCAAGTTGAGGAATAAGCGATGCGCGTAATCTCCAAAAAAAGAAATTTTTAATTTCCCCGATATTGAATTATAATCAGCAGGTAATACTTCGGCTTATCGCCCCTGGTGCATTCCAGAAGTGATACTCGCTCGATGATTTTTCTTATCATTAAAAAAAGCACTCACGAGACTCCGAGGCATCGAGTGTTTTTTCACTTTTACATCGAATTCAAGCTCTCACTGACGACACCCATCACGAACGGCAGTGACGCACACTTTGCACGCGAATCGTGGCAAAGAAAAAAAAAAAAAAACAAACAAGCTTTTACGGCTCGCAGCATATTTTTAAGTACAAAAAAACAAAACAATTCGCAAACACTATACTTCTTTTAGTCGATATCCTACCGAGGGAAAAAAAAAAAAATAAGAAACCCTCGAAGATTACTCTGTAAGCCGAGGAGGAGTGTAAAGGCTCCCTTTGAAGCAAAACAAAACAGCTCGGAGATGACGTGGGCAAAAGAAGAATCGGCGGGAGCTCGTTCCCGCTCGTTTGGACGCGCGAAAGGTGATCAAGCGACGAGTGCGCGGATTTGTTTTACATCACAGTCGGCCTTACGTATTATATGTGTGTGTGCGTGTGTGTTGCGAGAAAGAGATTAACGAGCGGACGGACGCGTCGAGTGTCGTGTCTTCGTCTAGAGCATAAGTAACGCGAGCTTTTCCTCTGTATCTTTTTTTTCGTTTCATCTTAATTTCCTCCCTCTTGAAGATGTTGACTATTGCGGATGACTTGTATGCGCGTGTACATGGGGTACATAGGCTACTGTTTGCTAGTTAATCAATGAATTTAAGAAAAAATATCCCTCCTCGCCACAAGACAACGTGTGGTCACACCATGCAACTGTGAGCGTGTATTTATAGATACCATGCACGTGATACGTCAAACGCTTATCGCGAGACATAGACGACTACGATGACGAGTAGGTAAGCGACATCAAGAAAGACAGAACTAAAGAGTCGAATGTCGGTAGACGACGACGACACCCGAGACGAGCTAATATAATATAAAATGTCTTCAATGCGAGGGAGGGTGGGATATTGAAAACCTCGTCGAGACGAGATAAGCCTTTTGGAATGTGCCGTGCGGACGGTGGTTGCGGAACGGACGAAAGAGGAAGCCGGAAGTAATTTAGCGGACACATGGTCCGTGCAAGGCGCATGTTTATTCGCGGTCCAGGCACGAGCTTTCATTTTGACGGATGGACGCGTGTGCGAGGGTATTTTTTTTGGCCACGGTGGGGTTGGGCCATTCTTCTTTCATCGCGATCGCGGCGGGCAAGGGTCCTCTTTGGAGAGCTTTGCGGTGAGGAAATTAAATTCTGGAGGACCTTCTTGAGCGGGTACTTGTGTGTGCGAGTTCAAGTTGCCGGGAAGCTGCTTTGGGTATTACTGGGGTCTTTTGAACTGGAAATTTGGTGTTTAAAAGTATGCATCGATACACGCATGGATTTCGGAACGGATGATGTATTCCGGTTAAAAGGAGAATTTCTTTTTTCGGGGCAGTTCACGAGTTCATTTTATTTTGCTACTGATTGAAGTACTTTAAGGTGTATAAACAAATAATTTTTTGTAGAAAATGTTGAGCTATTTTAACTAAAATATATACGTACATACTTTTTCGGAAAAATATCAAAATTAGGATCCATCAGAAAAATTAATTTTGTGGCTTTTTTTTCTTACTCCATCGATATGAAATTGATAAGTAGAGAACAATCATTTGCAACAATAATTGAATAAATCAATATTAAAATATATATTAAATTGTAAAAAAAAAACTTACTTTCAATAAAGTATAAGAAAAATTGCAAGCATCCTGATTATATCATAACTATAATATGTTGTGATTAGTTTCCAGAGAGTAGCTTATTTCTGAGCAACTTAAATTTCTAACGGAAATAGGATTCCGAAAATCCCAATTTAATGAAATTTCATAAGGTCCACGTTCTATGAGAAAAACAAAGAGTCCTCCTAAGCTTTTATTTTACCAAAATCAACTATAAATATCGATAAATTTAAGGAAGAAACGAGTAACTAAAAGTTAGTATTTTTTTTACTAATAATAAATAAAGTAAGTGTTAACCAGAGTTGCGAAATAATAATTTCAAGAACACACAAATTACTCATAAAATGTTCACAATGCAATGATGGGATTATAATATATGTAACACTAGTTATAGACTAATCACAGTAATATACAACAACAGGTCACTCTAAGCCGGAAAATCCATAAAACTTGCTAATAAAAAATTAATCTACTATCACTTCTAAACAATAGCTGCTCTCATCATCAATGCAGATGGTAAAAAAAAAAAAAAAAAAAAAAACCATCCTTCATTAGTACCTACTGCAGTCGTTTCAAGCACCGGTTTCTCCACACATTTTGTGCATCACAAACGTATATTTATATAGCTAAAGTAGGATTCGCAAGGATAAGCAGCAGAAGCTGCTGCAGCAGTGAAAACGACAAAGAGGAGGGTGGGGGGGGGGGAGCAGAAAGAAGTAAAGAGCATTGCAAGGAGATTAAGCGTGTGTATTATAGCGTGCGACATTCTTGTCGATCCGCAGCGAGACCAAACTGGAGCAACTGAGTCTCTCTCTCTCTCCTTCGAGACGACGAAGAAGACGAAAAACCGGTCGATCCTTCTTCTTCTTCCTCTTTCGCAGCATCAGCGGCAGCTCGTGTGTGTCGCGCGTATTTTCACGAGCCAACGCGTGCACAACCTGCCGCCGCCGGCTGCTGTTGCGAGAAACGCCGTGAGAACGTGAATATGGCGAGTACACGCGAAGGGAGAAGCGGAGAACGAGAACGAGGATTGAATTATTGCGTGGGAGTATTATGGGCGACGCGTGTTTGCAAAAGGGGACGAAAAATAGTTGAGTTTTGCGAGAGTTACGTGCGAGCTGCACGCGCGCGAATTGGGTATGTACACAGGGAGGGTGGCATGGAAATAAACGAATGGCTGATAAGACAGGCAAATTAGAGGGAGAGAAAAAATGTTACCATTTACGTATATGTATTTGCGTTGTGATTTCTTTAATTATTTTTAAGTGTGATTACGGTGGGCGTTGCCGACGTACTTTGTATGAAAGTTGACGTGCACGAACACCAGACTGTCGGTATAGGTGTTCGGGAATGAAAATTGTGCAGAATATACGTGTTGTTTATTGGCGTCGATATTATTTAAAAAAACATACTTAAACTCACACTTGAATGATTTAGTGAATTGCTAATATCTACATTGATGAAAACATCAATTTGAAATAAAAACAAAAAAAATGTCTCCCAGTGTTCAATTAATCCTTTTTTTTTTAATTCGATTATGCTGATTGCCTTAATATTTTAAATTAAAAAGATTTGCATACTGAAGGAGGGTTTCATAGCACTGGAAAAAAATGTGTATTGTTTTTTAAATTAACACAAGTTATTTTTTATTTCCAGGCGTTTAAAAAAAAAAAAAATTACCAAAATGTATACCATTTGATACGTGCTTTTGAGGGAAAAGTGTACACTTGTTGCCTTTTAGAAATGATCTAGAAAGTGAAACTAAATGCACGGAAGAGACATGAGCATCGTCTGCTGCATTTCTTCAAAAATTCTTCATCACGTTTTTCAGTTGAATTAATATTTTGAACTTCAATCAGACGACTAAAATATTCACATTTTCAAGAAAATATCAAAGAAACTCAAATGATGACAGTGTGAAAAATAAAATAAAGACAACAGACTCAGTTAAAAAGCAACCATCATCCAAAGTATCGACAACACTCTGAGAGTCCTCAAATTCCACGAATCCGCTAATCCGATCCGAATGGCTCTTTTGATCGTATGAACAAGCGACCCTATGGACGCGGGGACGTATCTGTGTATTTGTGACGAGATACACGATATCGTCGTCGTTACAAAGTGTCGTCGTGTCTAGACGACATTGCAAACTTTTGCACCGTCAATGATATCACGTACACATTTTCTCGGCAAAACAATAACATCATCTCAACACGAGATACGTACATGTACGGAAAAACGAGATGAGTACTGTGCTCGCAAACAGAGAAAGCGACAACATAAGAAAGCCAGTAGATATCGAGGTAGATATTGTTTCCTTTGTTTTTGTCAAACACGCGCGATCCAATTAGCAGAGGAGCCCATGAAATTTTGCGAGACAATAGTTACCAACTCCGGTGGTTTCCTTTGACGTTTGGATCCTCTCGTAACACGTACATTTCGTTTCGTTAAGCTTGATGAAATGCGTTTGTAAAAACAGTGTAATTCCATTACCTCTTGTCGCGTTTTTTCGTCAATTTTAATCTCAGCGAGTGGGTTGATGAACGACATCACAAAACATTATCAAAAAAGACAAAACGTAGGAAAAAAAGTACGATTCAATAATATATGAGATTATCATTGACATTTAATCGCAAAAATTGTGTACGAAAGAAAGCAGCTTTGCCATCAAATGAAATTTTCGACAAAAAAATGTACCAATGTACGATGGTAAGCAGCAGCAGCTCGACAAGACATTCAGAAAGGTACTTCAAGCACTATCAATCGCAGGTAATGGGCGCACACTCGAAGAAGTAATAAGGAGAAAAAAAAAAAAAAAAAGAGAGCAAAGTTAATGGGGAAAATTGGAGCAAGAAAGAAAGAAAGAAAGAGGCGCATCGATAATAAACGCATTGCCGGCCGACTGCACACGATGCCCGTAAAGATAGTGGTGTTGTGGCGCGTGCGCCTGTCAAACTTAATGCGAGACGATTTAATTAAACGAGCCAACCGCCGCCTCCTTCTACTATACCGAGTACTATGCTATTCCTTCTCCTTATCTTTCTTTCTCTCTCATTTTTTTCTTGCTTCTTCTTTTACTCTCTCGTCCATATCATATACGTGTGCGTACTTGTTACAGTTGGCCGAAGGAAGATTTATCGACACTTGGCGGTTTGTGTACGTACATACTTTTAATGATGGAGCGAATGACCGTACCTTCGGATAACTGATGTACGAGTACGATGATGGAGTTATAAGTGCTGTGTTGATTTTTTTTTTTCCTTACTCGTTCTGTTTTGCAGGAAATTCGTACTCGAACTTTGATTTATGCGCGCTGGGAAAGGTTCGTGTGGGTAAGTTGATTGAGTCATTCGAAGAACTATAACGAGAATTATATATAGATGCACAAGACGAAACACGAAAATTATAAATGTGGCTGTTTCCAGAAGACATGACGATTTTATACTGGTAATTACCAAATCGCCAAATTGTTCATATAAAACTTTATTTTTAATAAGGTTGATCCCATCAGTCTCTCACGGTTTGCCGAATGAGCCACCCGTCATAAATTTTGGGTACGAAATTGATAAAAAAAAAAGTTTCGATGAGCATATTCACGAAAACAAAAGTGGTTTCTCAAAAACCATTCGGGCAGTTATCGGCCTGTCTGTAAAAAGGGATCCTGTCGAGCGCCCTCGGAGCTCTCGCGCAACAACACATTGTACCGAGCAAATGCTCACGGCGCGTCCCGCGAAAAAAATAACATATAATCTGACTTTAATTACATACAATTTTTCTCGAGTCGTATCGGGTTTGAGTATCTGGAAGATGGACCTCCCAAAAAGCGGGCATGGGACCAAATTTTTGCGACACGAGAACGCAGGGGAAAAGAGTTCGGTGCACGAGATCGATCATGCGGGGATCCCACGCAAGGGTGTACGTGCTATATGAACCAACGTCACGGGAATCGGAGATTGAGAAAACCTACTGGAATGTGACGAAGCATTTTTTTTTTTTTTTTAAATTAAAAACTTCAGTTTACGTACGTGAAAAGGTGGGATTCCAAACTGGGACCAAAAGTATCTGGACTGCAAGTCCCTCCCTCTCTATCACCCGCATAAAAAAAATTCACAACATTACGTCGATGAAACGATTGTTTCGCAAAATCAAAGCCAAGTACGTCCATACACTTAAACTGAAATCTAATAGCAGGACCTAAGTCACGCTCGTAAAGAGACTCTCCCAAACAGCATTATCAAGATCTCCCCCACGTCAATTCTTTCCTATCTAAGTTCCACAAATTGTAAAAGCCCAACTGAAAAAAAAAAAAAAAAAAGAAATTAAGATCAAAGCTCTCCCGAAAGCTACTTTTCCAATACTCGGTAAAAGCCCACGGCACAACGGGTACGAAGCCGGGAGAGCAACGGTATATATTGCCTTTGTCACACGGGGCAAAGGGGTAAATCTTACGTGTGTATCCACAACGTCGTGCGCGCGAAAAGCCATACTCACACAGCGAGCCAAGATCCAGCTAAAGCCCTTCCGGTACGGTATCTCTAAGGATCTCGGAGCCCAGTCCAGCAGGAGGAAGAGTCCCAGCAGCAGATAAGGGCCCAGCCGGAGCGCGAGAACCAAAATATACGTATATATGTACATGTATACACACATCGGTAGGGCAAAGGTGCAGCAGCGAGACTTACTCCCCAGAAGGGACCCCCGTTCGCGTGTTGTTAACCAGTGCACTATCGGCGCTGAACTGACACAACGTCCAGAGTGCTTTTAATTATTCGACAAGGAGCTGCTGCTGCTGCTGCTGCTGACTACCCGCGAGAGTCGGAGGTGGAGGAAGAATGGTCGTCCCCGTGTGTGAAACGCCGAGATAAAGAGCGAGAGAGGAGGCACACGAGAAAGGAACCGGGCAGTAGTCACGGCCTGGAGAAAAGCGAGCCACCTCTACCGGCAGTTTCTTTTCCTCCTCCTCCTCCTCCTCCTCTTTCGTCTTATTCTTCTGCTCGACCACCAGTACGGCAAACAGAGAGAGAGAGAGAGAGAGAGAGAGAGAACGCACGACACCCACGATGTGTGAGAAAGGGAGCAGCTTTACTAGTTATTGTTGTTGTTGTTGTTGCCTTTCCTCCTCTCCTCGGCGTATCCTAATATACTGGTACTACAGCATCGATACCGTTTTGAAGCGACCACTGTAGTTACTGTTCTCTGGTTACCCGCGAGCAATTGATGGACCGTATATTACGCGAGGTGAGAAAAGAGATGCGCGCCAGGAAGGGGAAGGATGAAAGTTGGTAGTTTCAGGAGGGTATCAAGTTGCATCGCCTGGCCATTATTGGGTCTCTTTGATTATACATTTGAAAGAGATGTCAAGTAAACAGTATAATACGCGAGGAACCTTTGGATATTAAAAAAACACCCCAAGACTAAGGTTTAATTTATTTCAATGTGGAACACGTAAATGTCCCACCTGAGAGAACCACCAAAACAATCGAGAAGTCTAATTGGGATGAACACCAATTTGGCATCAGGAAAGAGCCATCATAACATTAAGGTTGAAAAATCGGGTTGTTCCTTAAACATCCTAGAAGCTCGTTATCGGTTCTTTCGCACCAAAAAGTCTCCATGTGACGATACGGGCGGATACGGGGCTAAAAAAGGAATACACATGAAGCTTACGCGTCATGGAGAATTGGTAAAAAGTTTTCTCAAGAAGTATCAGTCACCGACTATAACGGCTCTCGATCAATAACAAAAACAAAAAAAACAGCGTCTAATTGTCCGTAAGTCGTCCCATACCGAGCCAACGACAATTCGAGCAATTAAGCTCGGCTTCTGAATAATTAGAAGTGATTCGTCGTCGTCGTCGGCCCAGGCTATTATCGAGAGCGCAGCTTTGACTTTGGACTACATGTACCAAAGTGACAGTCGGCTCGTCGGAGATTCATCGCGTTAATTTTAACAAAGGAAGCCTTTCGAAAGGTCGATTCACTTTTCTCGTTGGAGTCAAGTGCTGTTGGGTTGGTTGGTGTAAGGTTGAAAAGGCATACCTTTGCTCTGTGTATCCTTCGAGCTCTAATGACGAATGAGTGTTCAAGAGTCAGTCAATTTTGGAGAACGACTCGAACTGTGGTGCAATCAGCATCCAACTATAACAGAAAACAAAAACAAGTTTTTTTTTATTTTATTTACAATAGGAAAATAAAGAACAAGGCCAAAAAGTATGGCACTATTTTTGTACGCTTTGCGCGCTGGACATTAAAACGAAAAGTGGTAAATGAACCGAGTATAATTGCAAAAAATAAATGAAGCGTCACGAAGGTCTGCGTTCACGCGCTGTACCTCTCAAGGCTGCATTGCTGCAAAGAGTTTAAGAGCCAACAACTGTAATGACGATTTTGTTTGGCGAATCGTTGGTCGACGATGTGCGATTTCCAGAGAGGACCATTTGGAAATAAGAAAAAAATGTACCAAAACTATACCGCTGGATGAAGTTTGGCAAGATAAACAAAAAATCTCCTTGCCAAATTTTGATTCGATGCGTACCTGCTGTCCAAGATATCGCAGATTGAAAGTCAATGAATCTTTTTAACACTGAGTATCTCAAGGACTTTTTAAAAGCTAGAGAGTATCTTGACAATGCCGTATTAGATCAAAATTTGGTAAATAGCTTTTTGTCTCTGTTGATTAGTTAAATCTCTAAATATATAGTTTTTCTAAAACCTTAATTATTTCAAGTCTATAGTCAAATATTCAAGAGACATTTCACGGGCAATTACGTTTGATTAGACTAATTTTACGAGCAGTTGAAAGACCACAAGTACAGTTTCTCGTGGAGCATCGTCGTAAACAACAATTAAACGAGATATAAAATTCATTAAACGCCACAATAAGCGAGGTTTACTCACACGTGTGCGGATCCTTCGACGGAGAAAATTCATTCAGCAGTTACACGATTACGTTATGTATCGGCCAGACTGTGGGAATCGTTTTCATAAAGTCGCGAGAATAATTATTAGCGTAATCCCCACGTTATTGCGAGCAGGTACGTGTTACACTGAGGAGTGTGGTTTTTTGAATTCTCTTCTTTCTATACTTCTTGACTTTTTCCTCTTTTGGATTCACTTCCGATAAAGTCGAGGAGAAAAGAAAAAAAGAAGAACAAAACCGAGAGTTTCTTTCGTATCGGATCTGCCTCTGCTAACTGACTCCACTAGTCCGAGGACAGTCGGCGTGAGATGCAATTTTGGCCGATAATGGATTTTTAAACGATTTGCTTGAAATCATTACTGATAAGTTTTCAATTATAGACTCGGTATCAGGGAATCTTAATTTGGAGAATTCGAAGTTATTCGCGAGACTTATCGTCGCCGAAGCGAACAAACAAACCGAGGTACGCGTAATCAAACTTTCCGAAGTAAATTTCAAGTTTATAAATACTGCTGATGATGATGGCGTTTAATGCGACCGATGATGATTCAGTCTTTTGATTATTAATTAACTCGTTAATTAACTTTTTAAGTTTGACGGTAATTAAGTCAAGAATAGACAAATTCTTGTTTTGTACAGTGGTGGATTATTTATAAATGGGACGCCTACGAATCACAAATTTTAAACATATACCTACGTAAAAAAAAAAAAAAAAAAAAAAAGATACCGATACGTCAAAATTGGACAGATTATTACAATACATTTTATATGGAAGGAAAAAAACAACACATTTGCAATTTTTCGATTTTTCTGATCCAGATGAAAAGCCTCACAAATCAAGGGATTCGGCAAAAAAAAAAAACTCACAAATTTGCTAACTGCTGGGCCACAATTCCCTCATATTTGGTACCGTGAGAAGCATAAAATATGTCTCGAAGAAAATAGTGCGCCGACGAAAGTGCAAAACGGCGCTAGCGAGTAAACACACACATAAATAAGCGCAATATATACATGTATAAAGTGTGCAAAGATACATACACAGCAGTAGCGGGAGTCAGACGATTCTATCTTCCTTATAATCGCCATTTCAGGGAGGAAAGGAGTCGACGCTTACTGCGCCTCGAGCACCATAAAGCACCGCTGCTGCTACTGAAGTAATTTTCCCCGACGCGAGTACAACGTGTACACGTACACACACAGTTTCGATGTTTGCTTCGATTGCAAGAGTAGAAAAATTTTGCTCTGACTTTGACATTGAGGTACATCATTTTGGGATTTATGAAAAGGATGTGATTTTTATGTATAAAAAGACCTCAAAGTTGGCTTTGTTTCACAATGTTTTATTATTCGCAGACAGCTGTTTCGGCAGTTACGCCATTGTCAGATGCTCGACATACACTGAATGGTCTATGTACATCAGTTCGCTGAAGTCAAGTACAAGTATTACAAATGTAGTTGTCGCTCAACGGTATGATATGTATGCGCCTGTGTATGAGTACCTTATGAGATACTATGTATTACATTTTCTATTATTGGAGATAGAGTAAAATTAATTTGATCGTTCGTTATGAATTTATTATGTTTTTTTGCTAATTCTATTTCTATTGTCTCAAACAGATTCAATTTAAAACTTTTAGGTAAACTGTGTAGTAACTTTATATTATTTTCATCTAGGAAATGCGCATTAGAATTACAATGTTCACTAAAACCCGTCGTATTGCGATCATTATAAATAGACTTTTTATGCTCCTTTATACGTTCGGAAAGGGCACGTCCTGTCTGTCCAATATATATGGCATCGCATTCGGAACAATTAATCTGATAAACACCACATTTCTGTAAAATACCAACTTTTTCCTTATTATTACATAAAATGGATTTCAAGTTACGTTTATTGACCATGATTGTATTTACATTTTGTTTTTTTAAGAAATTACTTATTTTATCGGATACTATGGGAACATAATTCAACATATTAAATTTTTTGGTTTGTTTTGCGACTGCGTAAAAATATTTTGAAATAAGTCTATTGTTTATTTTAAAAATTAGATTATCTATGAGGTTTTCATTGTAACCATTATTAATTGCTAAACATTTTAATAGATTGATTTCCTTTTCGTAATTAGATTTCGTTAACGGTACTGTTAATAATCTATGTACAAAAGAGTAAAATGCGCTCATTTTTATATTGATGGACTGCTTTGAATCGTACGGTACTAACGTATCTGTGAAAGTTGGTTTTCTATAAATTTCATACAACAACTCACCGTCTTTTCGTGTTATTTTTAGATCCAGAAAATTTAAACTATTGTCATTTTCAGCTTCTGCTGTAAATTTTATACCCGGTACTAAATCATTTATGTAGCTGAGAAAATTGGTCATTGTCCTCTCTGTACCCTTCCAGATGCAAAACACATCATCGACATACCTCGACCAGTGTAAAACATTACTGGTGAGGGGGGAGGTCGAATCGAATATAAGGTCCTCTACGTATGACATGAATATCTCACTGAGAAGGGGGGAGAGGGGAGAGCCCATTGGAAGACCGTTAAGTTGTAAATAATATTTATTATTGAACTTGAAGTAGCTTTGTTCTAAACAAATGGATATTAATTTAAAAATTTCTTGTTTTGAATCAACACACAAGGAAGGGCTATTGTCAACCAGATATTTAATAATATTCTTTAGATGGTCCGTAGGGATGGAGGGAAATAGATTAACAACATCGAATCAAAGCAATCGTGCATTACATGGAATTTTGATATCTCTAAGTTTATCTATTAGTTGACTTGTATTTTTAATACTATGTTTTGGCTTAAAGTTGAGTAAGGAAGGGAGTATTTTATTAAGTTCTTTTGAGAGTAAGTAGGTTGGTGCATTTGCACGGAGTAAGTAATAATTTTATTTGAAAGTAAAATAAAAATCGGCATTTCTCTGACGACAATAACCTGTATTTCCGTTCCCGCGAATTAATCACCAGCGTCCCGGTCACTTAGCATCCCGAAACGCAAAACACGCGCTCTCTCGGCGTCTGAAATGTTTGAAAGTGGCAAGATTCGCAAACGAGACTTGCCTTTCAAACAATGCGATTTACGCGGCCGCAACCACTGCAGAATTCATTGCCGCAAAAACACGATGAACGCAAGAGAGAGAGAGAGAGAGAAAAAAAAAAAGAAAAAAAAAGATCCAGCTCGCGATAATGAATGGAATAAGAGGGGGACGCGCGCGCGCGCGCGCATATAATTGATAGCGCCTGGGATTTGCAAGGGCTCTTTACGAGCGACGTTTATTGCCGTTCCCGTTCCAATTTCTTTTTTTTTTTCTCCTTTCGAATTTCATTTGATTATTTTTTTTGTTTAGAGCGTCGAAGCTCCAAGCAAAGAAGGAGAAAAAACTTACACCCGCACGCTTCTTCTCAAAAGAGCCGAAAGGAGTCAGAGATGCGCGTGACAGATGGGAATAATATACGCAAGACGGAGAGGGGGGGGGGGAGTGTATTATGCCCAGCAGCTATACGTACTGCCGTTGGTGGCGGCAATAATCGCGAGAGTTCCTGCGCGTTATACGTTGATGACGACGATAAAAAAGATACGCCTCGCGCGGTGCTCTCTTTTCGGAGACTTAATACGCCGACACTCGGTTTTTGCCTACATATATACACGCATGTACATGTCATATAGATAGTATTATGCAATCGTTTTTGGCTCGACATGACGGTCCTGCGTTAAAAGTTACGGTATACATAGGGTTTTTTTTATTTAAATTTTTTTATCATTTTTTCAGAAAACATAAGTTTTTGTAGATCCATGGATGAGAGATTTTTGTCATTCAAAAAAACTACTACGAGGTAATGTAATAACCAAAAGATGCCGAAATACCTCCACTCGGAGAGTATGTGTACACAAAAAACAGTCCCACTCAACGGAATTAGCGAAATCACCACGAAACAACAAGCCTACTTCACGCAGTGCATTAAGAGCTTAAGGGGGAAAAAGAAAAAGAAAATACTTTTCCTTCCCACTGTACCCGAGTCTTAATCCCCGCTAGTTCTCCTCTTTTCCTCTTTCGCGACTCTACATCCGCTTAATTTCTCGCGACGGCTCTCGTTTCCTGTATTATTCTTTCCCACTGCGCCATATCACGTCCATTCAGTCGGTCTTCTCCGAGACTCGGCTTTTATACGCGTTAGATAAATTACTTTGCACCAAGTATGTCCCAA